CAAATAAATCTTTTAAAAAAATGTTGCTTATGTGCAAGAACAAATACATACACGTGAAACACACACATGTATTCAGGAAAGGTAAAGTAGTGTGAATACTAACCAAAAGAAGTGGGCAAAGCTGCACCAATACCAGACAAGGAGACATGAAGAAACACCAACTAGACATAAGGAAGCATGTTTCAAACTGACTTAAAGGGGTAATCTACCTGAAAGAGAGAATGATTCTGAATCTATTACTAAATACCTAGCCTGAAAATATATAAGCCAAATTCATAGAACTAAAAGAGAAATAAACTAATCCACAGTCTTGGTGGGAGATTTTAACTCACTCCCTTAGTAACTATTAGAATCACCCAAAAACGAGCCGTCAGAGGGTCTAGCAGGATTGAACAACGCAACGAACACGTGTAGTCTTGCTGATATGTACGTAGAACACCATCCCCAGTGACTGCAGAATTATACGTCTGGTTTTCTAATGCTCATAAAACACTTCATCAACATTGACTGTAAAGCTGGGCTGTAAAGCAAATCCGAAAATTTTTCCAAAAAATGGAAATTGAAATCATACAGAATATATTTTTTTCTGACCACAAAGAAAAGAAGCTAGAGATCCATGACAAAAATCACAGCTAGAAAATTTCTGCGTCTTTGAAAACTTAGTAGTGCGTTTCTAGTAACCCATGGGCTGAAGAAAAATAAAATTAGGAAAGACAACAGATGTCGTTTTATGTGATATGGCTAACATTGTGCTTAAAGGGAAACTTATAACTATAAGTGCTTATATTAGAAAAAAAGATTGGAAATCCGACCGTCTCCACCTCGAGGGTTTAGGTAGGAAAAGATCAGCTAGTTAAACCCAAGAAGGTAGAAGAAAGGAAATACTAATGAACAGATTTCCTTGAAATAGTAAACAAATATGACAGAGGGGTCAGCAAGGCTAAAAGTTCTCTGAAAAGTCAGTAAATTGATAAATTGATATATCAGTTTATCAAATTGATAAATCTCGACAAGAAAAATCCAGAAAAATGAGAAAGGCAGCAGTAACCAATATTAGGAACAAAAGGGGATTGCTACAGGACTTACATTGACGTGATTTTTAGAGGATGTTGTGAAAATTTTTATGCTTATAAATTTGAAAACACTATCGGTTAAATTTACAGAAAGTATAGTGTAACAATTACTATAGGAGGGCATAAAATGCGAATAGTCTTATAGCTATAATTTAAAGCCATTTCTTAAAAAAATTCCAGACCCGGATAGTTTCACTGATGCACTTCTTCTAAGCATTTGGGGAAGACGTAACATTGGCGTTGCACAGTCTTACAGGGAACAGGAGAGAGGAAGATACTTTCCAGCTTGCTTTTTGAGGGCAACCTTGACACTCAGACCACACAAGAACATCAAAAGAAAGATGATTTCAGGCTATTCTCTCCCAAACATAGATGCTATAGTCTAAAGTAAAACATACCTAATCTAGCAATATGAGAAAAGATAAAACACACAACCAGGTGGGGTTTAACTAAGGAACAGAAGATTGTTTAAACATGAAAATATCTCTATAAATTCATAGAATAAAGGAGAAAAATATCATTTCAATAGAAGCAGAAAAAGTACTTGATAAAATTTGATACTTAGGGTACAATGATTTTTTTTTCTCCTTAACGAACTAGATATAGCAGGAACTGCCTTAATTTGGCAGAGAGAATCTACAAAAACTTCAGCAAATATCATACGTAATGGGAACTAGTAAAAGGTTTCCTTTGAGACTGGGAACTAGGAAGTGGTGCTCACTGTCCCCACTTCTGTTCAGCACTGTAGTGGAGGTCTTGGCCAGTACGAAAGGCAAGAGAAAGAAATAAAAGGTAAGAGCATTGTAAAGGAAGGAACAAATTTATCATTATTCTTAAGCAATATAATTCTGTATGTAGCAAATCCAAAGGAATCTACTGAGAAACTGTAGGAATAAAAAAAATGAATTAGCAAGGTTACTGTGTATGAGGCCATTAGAAGAATCAGTTGTGTTTTTGCATGCTAGCAACAAACCATAGAAAACCTGCATATGTTTATACCATCAAAATGTCAGATTTTTAAAAAAAGATTTTATTTATTTATTTGACAGAGATCGCAAGTAGGCAGAGAGGCAGGCAGAGAGAGAGGGAAGCAGGCTCCCTGCTGAGCAAAGAGACCGATGTGGGGCTCAATCCCAGGACCCTGGGATCATGACCTGAGCCACAGGCAGAGGCTTTAACCCACTGAGGCATCCAGGTGCCCCAAAATGTCAGATATTTAGGAATCAATCCAATAAAAGATGAGCAAAGCCTCTACATAGAAAACATACAACACTAAAAGAGATGAATTTAAATAAGCGGTATTGATAGGTTGGCAGCCTCAGTATCATAAAGATGCCCGTACTCAAGATGGGCTCTGTTGAATCTGTAGATCATTCAAAAGCCCGGCCGGTTTTCTGTGCATGCGTACATGCATGCGTGTGCAAATTGACATGCTAATTCTAAAATTTATTAGGGAAATGGAAGGAACCAAGAATAGCGAAGATGATCTTGAAGAGAGACTTAATATTATCTGATATCAAGACTTATAAAGGAATAGTAGTTAAAACAGTGTTGTACTAATACTAGAATAGAATAGAACAGTGAAACCGAATATGGAGTCGAGAAAATACCCCTGTCTCACACCCTACACAAAAACTAGTTCGAGGAGGGTTGTAGATATAAATATGAATGGTAAATAATATACCTTCTAGAAGATAATGGAGGGTATCTTCATAATTGGGGGATAGGTAAGATTTCCTCTTAAATCTGGACGAAGCACTCATTGTGGAAGAAACAATTGATTAATTGGACTTTAGGTTTAGTAACTTTGGTTTGTAAAAAGTCACCATTTAGGGAATGAAAAGGGTGAAGGTATACGTAACATGTAGAACCACCAGGGGTTTGCAACTGTAACTTATAGAGAACTCCTACAAATAAGATAAGCTATGTAATGAAGAATGAGCAAATGGCACTTTACAAAAAGAGGATATCCAAATAGTAAATAGGAGAAGGTGTTACACCTGATCTGTCATCCCCCAAGTGACTAAAGCTGACCCTACCGAGTGGTGTTGAAGGTGTGAAGTCACTGGGACATCTCTGCACCGTTCTTTGTCGTGTGGGGACTTGGCAAGTCGATCGCAGTTTCTCCTCAACCTGAGCACAGGTATACCCAGTAACTCACAGCTCCACTTGTGAGTGGAATAGGAACAGACATGCGCCAAAAGATTTGTCCAAGAACGTTTGCTACCCGATTAGTCATGAGCCTCAAACCGGAAACAACACAGACCCCAGTAAGGGGTTGGACGAGCACTTACATAATCGCGCAGTGGAATGCTGTGTGACAGTGACTGTGGCTTACCTGCCTGGCACAGCTCCCCAGATGATGATCCTTAGGGCACTACCCTGGGCCCTCCGCCTGTCCTTCACTTCCCTGGCTTTGGCGTTCATTTATGTTCTCAGGATTTCCAGTCATACTGCTCCAGCCCAGACTGTTCCAGACACTGTGGCCCAGCTGTCTGTCTGGCGCTTCTACGCCGATGTCCCACGGACACCTCAAAGGCAGCACGTACTGAACTCCTGTCCGCATCCCCTGAACCTGCTTCTCTAGGCAGGGAAATGTGGCAGCAAATGATACCAGCGTTTGCCCTGGGAATTGTTTGTTGGCCTTTTCTCTGCACTGTGCCTATTCCCCAGAATGTAAACGCAAACTGCTTTGTCCAAGAGCGGGTTTAACGATGCTTGGAATAACAGTTGGCATGTAGTAGGGGCTCACGTCTGTATTTTGTTAAAAACATCTATCCTTTTTCCATACTCAGTTTTGTTTCCAAGCTCTGTTGGTTTTTGTCTTCTAAGTACGTCTAAAATCCACTTACTCCTCTGGACTGCCATCTGTTGTCTGCGCTGCTAGGAGGGGGCCAAGGCACGAGTGGGTGGGAGCAATTTGGAAGAAGAGGTTTTGAGTTAGGACACACTTACGCTGCTGGTGAAACCTCTAATACACAGCATAGAAAACTTTTGTCTTTTTCTCTAATGGAACTAAATTTATTCGAACTTATGACTGTATTGGTTGTCACCTCATGACCTTTATCTTTCTTCCGTGGCCGAGCACTGCAGTCAGTGGTGTGAGTGAGCTTGGCACTCCGGGAGTGGGGGGTGAAGGGGGCCTGGGAAGGTAAAGGATAAGAAGCGGTAATAGAAGACTTGTCTATTGTTATTCCCTATTCCTCTCTAAGGACATCCCCACCCCCTCCGCTAAAGGTCACTACCCTTGACTTTCCAGGTATACCGGGGTGGCTCTGTCCCACTCGTCTCCGAATTATAACAGTCGTAGCTTCTTAATCTATTTGGTTGAAGAGCCCCCTGATTCACTATTGTAAATTGAACTCTCTACTCAGATGCCTGCGTGTTATTATCAAATAGTGCTGTTCTTGGCTTCCTGTGTATTACAAGACAGTGCAAAAACTTCAGGCTTTCTGCTTGGATGGTCTGTATTGGATCTTAGCATGTTTCTTGGTTACAAATCCAAATATTCCTGGGGAAATAGGCATTCAAATTCAGGGCAAGAATCTCTGTCTTGGCAAAATTTTCTTTCCTAGACTTGAATTAATAGCTTTGCCTATTCTCACTCATTTTTCTAGTTTAAACAGCAAGTGTGTCAGGTCATAGTGTGTTTGTAAGTGGGGCATTTAGTTGCTGAGTTGTTATAGATTCCAGTTTTTGAAACTGTCATGCTCTTTTCTGTATTTTCCTGAACAAATGTACTTGCTTGTCTCATCCCTTTTCCCTCGTAAATAAGATCCAGGAGAGCAGGAACCTCACCTGTCCAGTTCTGCGGCACTTCATGTCAGCGTAAACATTTGATAAAATCGTTACTGACCGGAAGAGTATTGCTGCTGCTTTGGGGCTTGGGTGGTTTTCTCTCTCACAGTATCCCCATCTTTCTTTCAGCATTGGAGAGGGGTCTCTTGAAAACCCTGCAGAAACTGGATGAGTATCTGAATTCTCCCCTCCCTGACGAAATCGACGAGAATAGTATGGAAGACATTAAGTTTTCTACGCGTAAGTTTCTGGATGGCAATGAAATGACATTAGCTGATTGCAACCTGCTTCCCAAGCTGCACATTGTCAAGGTAGGCCTGTTGGATGTGGTGTCACGTTGCCATTAGACCACATATTCTCTGTGTACTAAGCCCTTTCTTTGTCTATGACATACTTTTTTTTTTTTTTTGATCTGGTATGTGACTAGGAACCCCGAACAATATAACTTAATGCTATTTAGGCAACAGTTGGAATATCCTAGGGTTAGTAGAATGGAAAATTATGTCTTAAAATTTAGGCATATGAAGAATTTGTGTGTGTGTGTGACTGTTTAAAAATTCAAAAATGTAGCAGGTAAGTTTGAATTGGAATTTGCTACATTGACTTATGTTGTCAAATTCTGTTCTTTGGTCACCTGGTTACATCCGTAACAAGGCAAAGAAATATTTACTGAGCATTTATTGCGTAAGACACTGTGCTAAATAGAATAGTAGCTAATACTAGTTGTGTGACAAAGATCAAGACCGAGGAAAACAGAATCATGTGCGTGCCTTCAAGTATTTACCTGGGGACTCCCCCGGCTGTCCCTCTGGGTCACCAGGGCAGACGTTTGCAATCCTTGTCACGTTACTGAAGTTCTGATGTACCCTGCGGTCCTTGTCATTGTTTAAAACTTTAGTTAGAATGAAGGGGGACTTCTTCCCAAATAGAAGCAGTTCTCAGAGATTCACAGAATTCATTTGCCCTAAAATCAGAGCTAAGTCTGGTTTACAAGTCATGGAAAATAAATGTTAACTTTTGATGTCTTTGTATTTCAGGTGGTGGCCAAAAAATACCGCAACTTTGATATTCCGAAAGGGATGACCGGCATCTGGAGATACTTAACTAATGCATACAGTAGGGACGAGTTTACCAACACTTGTCCCAGTGATAAGGAGGTCGAAATAGCCTATAGTGATGTAGCCAAAAGACTTACCAAGTAAATGTCACTGATGAGAGAGATGTCTTCGCATCTTCCCCTAAGAATATGCTTTTCCTAACAGACTGCTCCTGTTCCTATAAAGTAGAAATTTTATTTTGCATGAACGTGCAGTTATTCAAGATAAGGATAAAGGATAGACAAGGTATAGTAGCTATCTTTGAATATACACTCCTAAGCAGTATTATGTTAAAACTCTGTATCCTGTGTCCCTCCCCTGCCCCAGACTCTCCTCTCCTCTAATTCAGAGACACGCCGCCACACTCCCCACTTGGTAGCGGTAGGTCGCTGTCTGTCCGGAGCCCTGACCGTTTCGTCTGTCCACGGTGGACAGGGGGCCGAACTTCGGACGTGCAGTGTTTAACTGTTAAAATAGTACCCACGACCTCCTCAGTCAGCCCCAAACTGGTGCACAGTGCATGGTACAAGGAATATTTATGTATTCTGGGAATTGTATAATATGTAGTAAGAGTATATGAAAGGATCGCTACTGTATCAGAACACTCTGTTTCAGTTCAGTCTGTCCTGGGTCTGTCACCAACGGTGGAGAGAGCCTTCCACAGAAAGTCACTACAGAGTTTGCTGTTTTTTACTTTGTACATGGATTTTTACTTTTGCGCAAAAGCATTTATCCTTCATGCCAGTTATATCTGAGGCTCTGTAGAAGCTAAAAGTTCAGAGAGAGGGGTGATGCCCTCAAGATCTTCCTCAAGCATTTTTATCTATATGAGAAAAACCAGTGGGCCCCTGCTACTCTGTCTGCATATGTTGTTTTTTGTGTGTATTCTGCCCAGTGCCATTTGTTTGGAACTTTATTGCTTTCCTCCTTTATTTTGAAAAGCTCCTTTTTAGGTAAGCATAGACCTTGCTGTCCAGAGATCTGTTGAGTAACACTACATAAACTGATACTTAGTTGATTTAGCTACAGCAGTACAACAACTTGTAATGTCAAAATTAACACAGGTATTAACCTAAGGAATGTAGCGTGGGTCTGTCAAAATATTAGGCAGAATTTTGTTTCTGAAGCGTATTTAATTAATATGGATAATCTAAAGGATGCATTATCCAATATATATCAAAAGCAAGGTAAAACACACATTACCAGCTTTCCCATTCTACCCCTCCTCCCCAATGACTGTTAAACTTTGGGTAGAGTGTGGTTCACTCCTTTTGAACTGTATTATAGTTCTAATGGTGAGTACGTATTTACTGCAGTTTTGCCTAATCTCAATCATTGAACTTCCTTCGATTAAATTTTTCTAAAGCTACATTGAGGAATAGCACTCTGCATGGTTTGTTTTTGTTTTTTGGTTTTTTTTTTAATTGAAGTCCTAAACCAGGAATGATTGGTTCTCTAACAAGGGAAGATGAACTTGGTAAAAATAAAACAAAGTTTGCTATGTATTTATTCATTTTTTAAAAATGGACTCTCTAAGTACTACTGCTCCAAAGACCGTGGTTGTAACTAAAATACATTTTTGGTAATTTTTTTATATGTAACTTGTTTAAGACGTGCTATTTCTCATAGGCTGTTTTTGGAAATTTATATTATTGCTTTAAAATGGCAATGTCCCCCCCCCCCCCCCCGGTGTGTTAACATTTAGTAATCACTGGCGTTAGGGAAGCAGCCTGATTTTGATAAGCATATACTGCATTTTTTAACCTATCAGTAATTAGCTTGGTATAGAAAGATAAACTCCAGATTGTATCCATTTGGCTTCAGGGAGGTTTCTTTGCCTTGCCCTTCTTACAACTCCTTATTGCTGATCAAAAGTCTGGGCACCCACCTTTTTGTCATTAAATATTGGATAGTGACTTATCTGGTTGCAAGAAAAGCACTCAGGTTATCACTGAGAAATTCTAGAGCAGTAGTTTCAGTGGGTGAAAATGTCCTGTGTGCACCAGGACACAGGCAGCCATCACCACTTCCCACCTCCTTTTAAACCGGTAGTGACTTGGCGTTCAGGTGATACTGAACCTCTCCTTATGGCTCTCAAAGTATGAAAAAGATTCAGGAGAAGGGTCTGTTCTTTCCAGTGAGCAGGGGACTGCGTGGTGCAGAATAGAGGGGCTAATGAGGACGGAGGTACATTGCTCAAAATAGCGGGACGAAAACCACATTCTGAAATCCAGTCATGAACTGTTTTCACTTTGGATACTTATTCTCTTCATTGTCTCTTTAAAACTTATCCCATGATTGTGTTTGGCTCTCTCTCTAGATGTCCAAGAAAGGCCGGTCTGTCTGTTACAATTTTGATGTAGAAAGACAGATTTTATTATTACGTTATCAGGGAAGATAGTTAGATGAAATTGAGATTGGCATATGGACAAAAGCTAGGAAAAAGGATGACCCAGAACATGATTTTTTCCCTCATTTTATACTTGTGGAAAGATCATAGCTTAAAATCTTGGGAGATTTTAGGGCATAAAAGTTTTCATGGCAGTTCATGTAGTGTGTATGAATTGATATAATGCAGACCATCTGATGCTGTTTTTACAACAACTAAATCATTTATTTCCTCATTTAAGCCCCTTCTGTATCACTTCAGCAAGATTAGAGTCTGAATGGAAACTCTCACTTATTTTCCAAGGAATTCTGAGAAATTTTTCTGTTGAACAGTTGGAAAGCTCTTTACTATTTCAGTTGATATAACTTCCTTTTTTAAAAAAATGTAGATGCAGATTTTCTATATCCCTTTAATATCTTTTATTAGGATCATTGACTTTTGTGATGAAAATCATATATATAAGATTCGATTTCTTGATAACTCAGCTTACACAATTTATTTTTAAACTCTTGAGCAATCTGTATACAATGAAGAGATTTCTGACATTTATTCTTACACTAAGTTGATCAACTCTAGAATTTAGGCATTTTAACGTCTGTTGAGTTTTGAATCTCTCCAGAGTTACGTAGCTAGCTTTTGTTTCTGTACATTTAAAATATCCACTTAGGAAATATCTACAAGGTAAAAAATGAGAAGAAACAGCAATGTATTTTTTCATGAACATTTTGATAAACATTTCATCATTTATTGATTAACCATTTTCTTACACTGGTTATAATCAGTATTTGATTCAGAGAGGGAAGCATTCATCATTGATATACTATATAGGCTTTTTAAAAAAATTCCATCCTTTACAAATGATCAAGATTGGGGCTGTCAAAATTATATTTTTATCATGGAAAAAATTTCAATTCCCTCAGTCCTAATGTTGAACAGAATTGGAGTATTTTCTTTAGAATTACTTGAAAAGGCAAATGAAAGCTTATTATAGAATGCTTGTATTTTCTTTTCTCTCTCTAGAACCAGTATATTGCTGGCAGCTATTGTATTAAAGAAATAAAGTATATTTTCACTATCATAAAATGTTCTTTTTTCCCCCACCTCATGAAAATAAATAACAACCTGGGGTAAAAGTGTTTTACTTGAGACTGCTTTTTTCCATGAGGGGGTGACTCAACACATTTAATAGATTAAAGGGGAAAAAAATCATATGGTCATCTCAGTAGGTGCATAAAATAATTTGATAAAATCTTTTATGATTCTCATTCTTAGCAAAGCAGGGCCAGAGATTAAAAATTTTTTTACCTGAAAAGCCATCTGCCAAGAACCTACAGTTAATTTCATATGTAAATATGAAATAAAGCCCTCCCATTAAAGCCAGGAATAAGACAGGATTGCCTTCTATCACAGCTATTATTTGGCTACTTTTTACAGCTACTTTATTAGAAGTGTGCTAGTCAATGCAGTAAAATCTGTAGAAAGAATAGGGAATGGAAAAAAAATGACCAAATGGATGCTTTTTGCAGATGATGCATATACATAAAACAAATACAAGATAACCTATCAGAAATAATAAGGAAATTTAGCCAGATTACTAGATAAAATATTGAAAAAATATAATTACTACATATTAATACTAACTATATTAAAATTAATAAACTAGTAACATTGGATGACTTTTTTTTCTGGACAAAACCTGGGTGACTGAGGAAAATGGGAAATTGTCAATGTATTCTTTTTTGAGATTTGAGAAATTTGTAACATATGTTACCTATTCTAAAAAATAAAATGCTTTAAAAGAAGCTAACCTTCTAATCTATTAATCTTAGATCAAATCTAATAAACCATGCAATTCCTTTATGAAGAAAAGTGCAAACTATTATCAAAGGACCTAATAGAAATTTGCTCCATGGATAGGTATATCATGTTCATGGATAGGGATCTTAAGAAGAGTTTTAATTCTGTCTTAAGTAATTTATAAATTCAGTAGGTTTTCCAACAAAATCTCAAGTGTGCGTGCATGCGTGTGTGTGTGTGTCTGTGTGTGTGTGAGAATAAGACAAATGAGTTTAAAAAATTCATACGGAAGAATTATTCCCCTCTATAACCCATATATATATTTGGAGAAGGGAGGAAAACCTAGGAAGCTCGCCTGACGAGATATAAAGACTTAAAAGTTTACAGTAATTGATGGGTAGGATGTAGTGGGTCACAGCAACACAACATTCAGGCTGCAACTAACAAAAACACCAAAATATTTTTGAACATCAGAAAATTGGAAGCAATAAGGACTAAATAAATGGGAATTTCAGAGAAGGAAGCCTTTCTGAGGTGAAGGAAGCCTTTGATGGTTTGGCCATTTTCTTCCCTGGGGGGCATTTACTGATTCTGGCCTGAAACTGAGGATTGGGTTTGGCCCATGCAGAGGGCCTCTGCTGGGGAAAAGAAAATCACAAGGCTCTTGGTTATAGGGCACACTGGAAACCCAGGAACCCAAATACATGATTGTTCTACGGCCATACCACCCTGAACGTGCCTGATCTCATCCAAATACATGATTGTTTTTTTCACAGATCATTTGTTGAATTCCAGAACTGTATGTGGCATGCTAGAAGCTAAGTGCAGGGCTACCAAAAGGCAGAATGAAATCTCCCATAATCTCACCATATTTAGGAGACACGATTTCATTAGCAGGAGGGACTTACCTAAAACACAGAAAGCAGCATAATGGTTGCCTGGTGCTGTAGGCAGGAGGAGGAATTGCCAACAAGCATAAGGAATCATTTTGGGATGATCGATCAGTTCTAAATATGGATTATAGGTAAGGTTCTGGTGTCCAGAATATATAAAGAATTCTTATAATTGAATAATAAATGAGCAAGGATTTGAATAGATAGCTCTTCAAAGAATATACACAGATGGCCAAGAGACACATAAAAGAAGCTTAACATTAGTTATTAGGGAAATATAAGTTAAAACCACACACACACAAACCCCTCCAGTATGGCTATAATCAAGAGACATTATTCAATGTGGGCAATGATGTGGGGAAATCAGGACTCTCATACACTGCTGGTGGGAATCTAAAATGGTGCAGCCACTTTGGAAAACAGTCTGGCAGTTCTTCAAATAGTTAAACACAGAGCAGCCGCACAGCCCAGCAATTCCACTCTTAGTTTATAACCAGGAGAAATAAAACTTTGTTCACATATGTCTTGTACGTGGAGGCTTATTTTACTTTTTAGTAGCCAAAAAACAGAAATAACCCAGATGTCAACAGATAAATGGGTTAAAAAATTTATACACACACATACACACATATATATACATATATTTATATTTATATGTTCTATATATAATTTTTTCATTATATTCATTAATGGGATACTATTCAGCCATAAAAAAGTACAGACACAAGGCATAATACAAGTGAACCTTGAAAACCTGCTCAGCGAAAGAAGCCAATCAAAAAAGGCCACATAAGATTCCATTTATGTGAAATGTCCAGAATAGGGAAATCTTACAGAGACTGACAAATTAGTGGGTTGCCAGGAGTTGGGGGAGGAAAGAATGGGGAGTGACTGCTGGTGAGTATGGGGTTCCTTCCTGGGGTGATGAAAATGTGCTGGAACAAAGTAACAGGGATGGTTATTCAACTCTGTGAATAGTAAAATACAAAAAGGCACTGAATTGTGTACTTTAAAATGGTGAATTTTATGGTTTATAAGTTATATCTCAATTTTTAAAAATTGCCTGGAGGTAGCTCTACCATGCTAAAGTTTTGGATAATCAGTCTATTGACAGGTTAATTGGCAAAGTTAGTGATGTGGATTTCCTTTGTGTTTGAATTAAAGATCAATTTAAACAGCATCCAAAATATTTTATTTAGAAGAAAAAAAAGATTTTATTTGAGAGAGAGAGCATGGGTGGGGAGGGGGGGAGATGGAGAAGCAGACTCCCCGCTGAGCATGGAGCCCCATGT